TGTAGACCAGCCTTAAGAACCAAAGGATATTTAACTTTACTGTCCTCCGACAACCCAAGAGATGAACTAAAGAATGGTGCCTCTGGGTACACTTCAGCTGCTCACCAGGTGCACGGCAGCATCAGTACTGATGCTGGCATGAGCCCTGAGCTTGCTCCCTTCTTACCAGTGGTGAGAGAACTACCTGACATTGCTCTGGCCATGGCATCTGGGGAACCTGGCCCATTTTTATTTTCGTATAAGCCCCATGGATAGGGAGTTTTTACGTCTGCATTAACTAGACACACCGAGAGCAGTGTCAGTGTAAGCAGAGTTAGGGATTCGCTTAGTAAGATGACCTGCTTGGGTACAGGAAAATGTTTTTTCAGCAGAGAGACTGTTTGTTTGCTCAGCATCCTGTGGCTGACTTCCATCCTGTTTTCCCAGCGATGGATAGGCTGTTACGCTCACACTGGGCAACGGTTAATGTGAAGATGTTTGACAACTGCTGGAGAAATCTATTCAAGGGGAGAAACAATAGCTTAATAAGAGGCCTTCATTATATCTTATAAATATTTAGCAGTCTTGTAGTTTGGCTAAATAACAAGATAGGCTGTTTTACTCACATAGTTTTTTGCGCTTTTTCTTCTTGAAGGGCAAAGTGGTTATGAAACCGACATTATAGAACAAAAAAAGTGTGTGTGTGTGTGTATGGGGGTGCGCACATGTGTGTGTGTTCTCACTCGCACACCTTAAAAGCTAGTGCTGTAGCTTGAAATGTCAATTCCTTCTCCTTTTAACCATGGAGCGGGTATTATAGAGTTTAAATGGTTGGAAGCTAATTGCAATGTCATCTGTATTTTGCACTCTGTTTATAAATCATAGAAAGATTAAATGGATTTAAGATTGACATACTGCATCTAATCTTAACCACCAGTGTTTGCTCTGGCAATGTGTACTCTCTCAAAGATTGCCACGTTTCATATATTGAAAGCTGTGCTAGCTGGTTCCCAGTGTGAAACAGTACTGCGTACCTGTGTATTAGAGAGCATTTAAATGGGAATGTGTGCACTAGCTACCTAGGGAAAAATGTTTTTGTATATCCACAAAACCTTTCTTATCCATTTTTTAGTTGGAAAAGTGAAAGAAAATCCTAGAAAACTATAAACGGCTGTGTAGACAATCCACTTGCCTCCCTCCCCCAAATTAGCCATCTTCAAACACATAAGACAAGAATAGGTGAACACAGCGGCTATTTGATTAAGCTCTCCTGGACAAAGGTTGCCTTCTTGTTACGTGTGGTACGGCATCTCGCACAACAGGGCCCTCATCTGTGACTGGAGTTCATAGGCCCTGCTACAATACAGATAATACTCTATCCCATCTTTGTGCAGAAATGTGTTAGTAGATGGCATCTCTCCAAGGTGGGATGGGGTTCCTGAGTGGGATTTCTGCAGCCATGCTTTATAGTATTTATTTATTCCTTACATTGTATTAAAATATGCCTATCCAGTGACACCATGAGGTCACTATTTTATTATTACTATTACAATAGCACCTACAGGTTCCACCGGAGATTAGGGACCCATTGTGATAGGGGTTGTACAAACACATAGTAAGAGTCCCAAGCAGCTTACAGGTTACATAGAAAAGGCAAGCAAAGGGTGGGAGGGTAAACAAAGGAGCACGGAGAGAATGATTTACAGCAGATTAGTGGTAGAGGTGGGAGTATAATCTAGGTCTCCTGATTCCCCATCAAGTGTCCTAGCTACTAGACCACACTTCCTCTCTGATGCACTCTAGCTATACTTAGTGTGTGTAACCCCACTATCGATATTTGTTCTTGTTATATGTCCCCATCAATCAATGCTTCTTTTAGTGTGTGTTATAATATGAGTAATTCTGGTTAGATTTGACTGGACAGCAAAGAGGAGTAGTTCTATTTCAGTCAACTTGAGAATACAGGGACATTTCTATATTGAGAGACACAGTAGGGTGCATGTATTCAAATATGAAACCACAGGTGTCTTTCATTTTTCTGTATTTAAAAGATAATTTAATGGAACTCCCTCATCCCCAATGGAAATGGAACATTATTATTGCTGCTACTCCAAGTGCTGCTTATTATAAAGACGTATTGGACTGTTCAAGGACGAGCTGTCTGAATGGCTGGACATTGTTAAGTGCTTTGTCATAACCAGAAGTGATGGAATACAAAGGGTTTTCCATTTGAGAAAGCATCCGTGGAATAGAACTCTGTCCCAGGAAAATATTTTCCTGCCCCACTACTGAGGCAACCCCAAAGTGATTTCTATGTCGGAGCAGGAGAAAATGATTGTGGGATAACATCTTTATTTCCCTTTGGTAGAATTATTAAAGCCAAAAATTTCAAACTCTGGTACCTAAAGTTAGGGTCCACTCCTAGATCTGTATTTAGGAATTTCAATAATAGTGGCTGCCTGGATTTTGACTGCCTTAGAGCTGATCTGTTGTGCGCTTCAGCTAATCAGAACCCAGATCAGCTTTATCCATAAATCCATTGTTCTGACTTTCCTTTATCACTTTCCAAGACCCTCACCATCGTTTTGCTTTTTCATACACAAAGGCCAGAATGTGTGTATTTTAGTCCATATATCTTATGTTGGATTAAGGAGAACAATGAATGGAGAACAAACATAAAGTCTTATGAGGGAACACTATGTTCACACTGTAACATTCTGCATCTGAACAGAGGCACAAAATGGCAGCTCACAGTCTCCTCAGAGAAAACAGATTGTATAGCTGCATAGACCATCATTCTGACCGATGTCTTTTCTGAGAAAGAAGGATGAAATGACCTAAGGCTAGCCGCTCCAAATTCTTGACTGGGCCTTTGGAGCAACCAAAGAAAAGTCTTCCTCTAGAGAACCATCCCAGGTTTTACACACAGCCTGGTACATGCTGGATCAGGATCCTGGGAGGAACACCAAAGGGGAAAGCGCAAAAATAATCACACTATAGAGTTGTTTTCCTCTTCACAGCCTGTTGTAAAGAGTAACTAATTCTCATAACCCCGGTGAGGGGGGTAAACATTATCCCCATTTTTCAGGTAGGGAAACAAAGGTGAAGTGACTCATCCAAGGCTAGAAAGGCAGGCGGCATCAGGGGTGGGATTTTGAACTTGGGGATTCTTGGACCCAACACCTGTTTTCAGACCACTAGACAACACCTCTTTTTAAAATGTCTGTACTCGGCAGGGATTACATGTAAACAGTTAGAAAACTTTGTTTAAGGTTTGCTAAACCAAATCCTCAGATTTCATCCTAGTCTAATAAACCCCCTGAAAAAGGACACTTTTAAAGACATATCAGTCTGCCCTACTAATGGAAGCATGATGGGGTGGCTGTCGCAGCTGACCCATCTGGTTGAAGGCTTGTCTCTTTTGTTTTACTACAGGGGCCCTTGCCACTTCAGAGCTCCACCCAGGGTGACTGATATGTCTATTACTAATGTCAGCCACGAAGCTATATGTACGAGAGAGATGTGCTTCCATCTCTCAGAGTGTTATGGGAAATGGGAAGCATTAAACTAATAGGCAATTTCCCTGAACATCACCACCAGAAATATCTTACTATCACTGGCAATACAGAGCTGAGGGGCAAGATCTCAAGTTACAATGGTGTAAATCTAGAGTAACTCCACTCACTGCAGGAGCCATAGTGCCTGAGGCTCCCTCAGCTGCCACTAGTGCCTGGAATCTTGTGGGTAGAGGAAGGGGGCAGCAGACTGTGGGCCTGATTCTGGTCTTACACCCGTGTAAACTAGGAATAACTTCGCTGAAGTCGATCAGGTTCCACTGATGTGAAATAGATGGAAGTAATGGGATATCAGGTTGTCTGTCTGCAATAATGTACCTTCCTTTGACTCGTAGGCTTGAGAATTTCGGTCCCCTCAGCATAACTCTCATGGTCTGACCTGGCCCCATGAAAATACTCTTGATACACCATAAAGGGTGCCGGCTTTGCTAACTGTGAGTTCCCTTCTTTTTATATAAACAAAAAATGTGAAATCCTCATTTCTCACTGGGGTGAGCAGTTTTGCACAATCTCTGCTACAGTGCAAACCATGTGCTCACTGCTAGCTTATTTTTTAAAAGTGTTTGACAAAACTGCTGCCTCAAGGCAGGATTTTTGATGGGTGTGGAAAGGGAGGCTCATCTGGAAGTGTCCCTTTGCACAGGAACCTGTGCCATGCTTCAAAGCTCTTGGGGACAGAATAGTTGTTGCTCCATCTTCCAGGAAAACGGCATCCCTGCAGATCACCTCTTCTTTCCATGCTATCAACGTACTCTGGCACTTGGAAGCTAATGAGCATATTTTAATTAACTAAGAAAAGAGAGTCAATCATTCCATTTAACTTGTGTCTTCTGCAAGCAATCACATAACTGAACAGAGAGACCATCCCGGTTTTTACAGAATAGGAGTGGATGATAAATGATATTATTCAAAGCTCACATGCTCACAGCAGCAGCCTCACTGAATCCCAATCTGCTTTGAGCATTTATTTTTCATTTTCAATTCTTGTTCTAAGTACTTAAACTAGTTTTTAATAGCAGCAGCAGCAGCCAATACTGACCATGATTAGTTTGCATGTTAAGTCCTTTCTGAGTGTTCTCGGGGGAAGCAGATAAGACAAGGTCTTTCTCGCTTGGGCCTTTTAAAAATGCATGAATTCTGCTGTCCCCATTTATGGTTTAATCTGACAGTTCTGTGGGACTGGAAATGAAGATCTCTGCCCCACCCTGGGTTTTTTTAATGCATCAAGACTGGCTTTAGTACAAATCTGCTTCTGGAAACTGCAGCTGAAAGCCTTTCAGCTGCCACAGAGGGAGCCTCCTTAGTGGACCCCTATGATGTCAGGTTGCATCGTGCAGCTGACTAGCGGGGAAGGGGCTAGGAATGCAGCTCAGCCCTTAGACAGCAGTACCAGGTACCACTGCCCTGAGTGCAGCCACAGAGTGCTCAGCCTCTTTCCTCCTCCAGCACAGCAGAGCCCTTGGCTCTCACTTTTACCTGTCTGCATGAGGACCCAGCAATGCCCCAGCGAGTCCAGTGGGGCACACAGTGGAGAAAATTGCAGTAGCAGTGGAAGCTCTGGGCTCTCTCCGGGTTCAGATTCGGACAGCAGCGGGATAGTGTGCGGTGGTGGTGGGATGAGAGGCGTACTGTCAAGATACTGGAGTCTGGAGAGTCTCCATTCAGCTACAGGTAAGAGAAACTCTTTTATTGCTACGTGATATTGCATTGACCTTGAGAAACAAAATCAGACCGTCTGGGGAAATTCCATAAGTTGGAAATGGGCTGTGTGGTCTCTTAGTTGTAAGTGAAATGACAGTGAACCCCGAAATACTTCTTGGATCAGGTAGGAAGAAATGGGTTCTTAAAGGCTGCAGAAATGTTGCTTAGACTCTCACCAACTCAAAGCTATCTTTTCTCTTTGGAATGGCCTTTCTCTTTGCACTATAAATATACAGAGTCCAGTGCTGGCATTTTTCTGTTTAAATGACAATGTGGAGTGCATCTCCTCTTTTATAAAATGCCCAGATGATGTGCCGTATAATAGAAGAGGGACAGCAGGGTTTGCATTCTAGCACACCGAGGATAGGGAAAGCAAGGCATTTGAGCTGACTGTACAAGTTGTGTGTCTATTTTCTCGACTCCTGGTTCGATTCTCTGTGTTCTCAGGATTTTTCAGGGATGTTCACTCCTGCCTGCATATGTAATTCTCGTTGTTCGGTCACTGCCATGTGCGTTTAGGGTCTGGATACATGAGCTGTGAGCCTGGGAAGAAGACTATCATTCCTGGCTGAAAGTTTAGCGGGGAGGGCGCAGCAGAGATCGCCTAGCTGTTCGTTTCTTCTCACATTTGTTGCCTGACTGTTGCAGGCTGGGGAGATTTTGAGCAGGGCTGCAGCAAACTAGTTTCTTCCTTAAGCTAATTCAGACAAGTGTCTCCAAGCATGTCAGCTGACTGCCATTTTCCAGGCAGCATTGCTCTGTGCTACCAGCCAGAGGCGTGCCTAGTAGAAATTTTAGCTGTGGTGGTATATCTTGCCTTAGCTGCATATACCGTTAGTTTATGAAGGGTCTTGTAAAAGCGTTGCTCTGCTGTAAATAGCATGCTGTTCAATAAAATCTTTTTATCGCTGAACAGAGCACAGCTGCACCTGCACTAGCCTGTCTGAGGCCCTTGAGCGTTTGCCCCCTCAGGTTTCTTCTTTGGGAAGAGCACTCAGGACTGATCAGATTAAATCAACAGGTGTGAATCGTGCCTAGCACTGGGCTGATACTTTTATTTTTAATTTCAAAGGGTTTTGTGTACACATTCACGTGTGGTACATCTGTGCGGCACAGGCCATTTTGTGGGCACCACATGCATCTAACAGGAAGTGCGGAAGTGAGTGAGGCACGGAGTCAGAGTTTGAGGACTCTGAGGGAGAAACAAATCCAGTTTCATCATTATGTTCTTGATGTAATAGTTTAATAGAAGCAATTCACTGAAACCTAGGACTCCCTGCTCCTCAAGAATACCACCATCAGTCATATTCATAGAGTTTAAGGCCAGAAGGGGCCACTAGATCATCTAGTCTCATCTCCTGTATATCACAGGCCATCAATACTCCCAAGCACCTGCACACTGAACCTAACAATGGAAGAGAGAACATGTAAATGAGATTTGTAGGTGATTAGATTTTTATGTGCCACAGGCAGAGACCATAAGATTGGCCACACTGGGTCAGACCAATGGTCCATCTAGCTGGGTATCCTGTTTTCCAACAGTAGCGAATGCCAGATGCTTCAGAGGGAATGAACAGAACAGGGCAATTATTGAGTGATCCACCCAGGGGCAGCTCTAGCTTTTTTGCCGCCCCAAGCACGGCAGTCAGGCAGCCTTCGGCGGCATGCCTGCGGGAGGTCCCCGGTCCCGCTGATTCGGCGTACCTGCCGCCGAATTGCCACTGAATCCGCGGGACCGGCGGACCTCCCGCAGGCATGCCGCCGCCGAAGGCAGCCTGACTGCCACCCTCGCAGGGACTGGCAGGGTGCCCCCCATGGCTTGCCGCCCCAGGCATGCGCTTGGAGCGCTGGTGCCTGGAGCCGCCGCTGATCCACCCCCTGTCATCCAGTTTCAGCTTCGAGCAGTCAGAAGTTTGGGGAGACCTGAGCTTGGAGTTGCATCCATGATCATCTTGGCTAATAGCCATGGATGGATGTATCCTCCATGAATTTATCTAATTCTTTTTTCAACTCCGTTATAGTTTTGGCCTTCCCAACAATGGCCTCACCACAGATTGTGCATTGTGTGAAGATGTATTTCCTTATGTTTGGTTTAAACCTGCTGCCTATTAATTTCATTGGGTAACCTCTGGTTCTTGTGTTATGTGAAAGGGTAAATAACACTTTCACTTTCTCCACACCATTCATGATTGTATAGACCTCTATCATATCCCACCCTCAGTTGTCTCTTTTCTAAGATGAGCAGTCCAAGTCTTTTTAATCTCTCCTCATGTGGAAGCTGTTCCAAACCCCTAATCGTTTTTGTTGCCCTTCTCTGTATTTTTTCCAATTTTAATGTGTGTGCTTATTTTAGATGGGTCGACCAGAACTGCATGCGATATTCAAAGTGTGGGTGTACCAGGAATTTATATAGTGGTATTATGATATTTTCTGTCCTATTATCTATCCCTTTCCTAATGTTCCTAACATTTAGTTATCTTTTTTGACTGCACATTGAGCAGATGTTTTTCAGACAACTGTCCACGATGACTACAAGATCTCTTTCTTGAGTGGTAACAGCTAATTGAGACCCCATCATTTTGTATGTGTAGTTGGGATGATGTTTTCCAATGTGCATGACTTTGCGGCTATCAACATTGAATTTCATTTGCCATTTTGTCACCCAGTTTTGTCAGATCTCTTTGTAACTTTGCAGTCAGCTTTGGTCTTAACCATCTTGAGTAATTTTGAATCATCAGCAAACTTTGCCATCTCACTGTTTACCCCCTGTTCAGATCATTTATGAATAGGAGGCACTGAGGTGCACTAGAGCTCAAGGCCCCTGCAATAGCAGGGAAATGATGAAGTGAGATATACCCAGATAATCATAGCAAGTGACCTGCATCCGCATGCTGCAGAGGAAGGCAAAAACATCCCCAGGTCACTACCAGTCTGACCTGGGGGGAAATTCCTTGCTGACCCCACATATAGTGATCGGTTAGACTCTGAGCATGTCAGCAAGCACCTACGAGAGAGAGATTGCTTGATATCACCTCAGAGCCTGCCCCATCCCGTCCAATGTTCTGACTTCAGCCATGGCCATCTCTGTTGCTTCATAGGAAGGGGATAAAAAAAACCCTCACAGAGTACATTGGGAGATGATTCCTTCCTGACCCTTCCTGGTGGATGGCTGAAACCCTGAAGCATGAGCTTTAGGAACATAAGACATAAACCAGAAGTGACCACAAGGCTCTTGAACCCTGTCCCCACCATCACAAGCAAACCTGCCATACAGTTGCACTCAGAAATGTGTCCATCTCTCTCTCAAAATGTATGAAGTTGTTTGCCTCCTCAACTCCTATTAGGAGATTGTTCCAGAACCTCACCACTTCTGATGGTTAGAAACCACCTAATTTCCATCTGAATTTGTTCATGGCTAGTTTGTATCCATTTGTTCTTGAGCCAACATTGTCCTTTAGCTTAAATAGTTCTTCATCCTTCCTGGTATTTGCTCCCCTGCTGTATTTATAGAGAACAGTCCTATCCCATGTCAGCCTTCTTTTTGCAAGACTAAGCAAGCCAAGCTCTTCCAGTCTCCCCTCATAAGATAGGCTCTCCATTCTCCTGATCATCCCAGTAGCGCCTCTGCACCTGTTGCAGTTTCAGTTTATCTTTCTTGAACATGGGTGACCAGAATTATACACAGTATTCCGAATGAGGTCTTACCCATGACTTGTACAGTGGCATTAATACATCTCTGTGTCTACTGGAAATGCCTTGCATAAGCATTGTTTCCATTTGCAAAATGTGTTTAAGGCCGCAGAAAGAGTCCATGTCGGAGTTAGGATTAGAACAGTAGACTATGCTTCTCCCTAAAATAATTAGTTTTATTCAGATTTTATTATCTCATTATTCCTGACTGGGGTAATGCTGAAGCTAGTGTGGCCAGCAGCACCAATGTGCTGTTATGGAGCAGCAGAAAAAACAAACCTCAAAGATTTGCATGGAAAGTGTGTGTTTTAAATACGTTAAAGTGTTATTTACTGCAAATCTTAATATTTCATTTTTAAAAAGCACCTGGCCAAGCATGAGACTGCTAGAGTCTGGATTGTAAGATGAGGTTCAAGGCAAGAGTTCTGTGATGGTTTCATGTCATCTCAATCGGTACATGAGGAGATCCTGCTGCATCACTTAGGGAGACCAACAGAAGAATGAATAGGAAGTATGTGTGTGCACCAAGCACATTCAGATGCTTCAGAGTTGCAGAAATGGAAGGTTGGAAGATGAGTCAGCCTACAGGGAATTAATAGAGGTGTTACACATTTCCAGAATCGGCCTCAACAATTTTGGGTGGGGAACAATATTTCTATCCCACTGCAAAATGCAGTAGACTTTTGTCCATAATGATCTCGCTGCTGTGCTTGGTGCTGGTCTGAGACTTTGGGGAGGGTTACCAAGATGGGATCCAGCCAGAGATAAGTGATAAAGTTTTGGGGGATCTTCAGGAAAAGTGGAATCCAACTGCTTGTGTTGGATTCCATGCACAGCCACTAACATTTAAAATAAATAAATAAATAAATAAATTGTTTCTTTTAATAAGCTGGAGTTCAAGGGGACCGATTGAAGTTTGTGAGAGACTTTTGGTGAATTTTAAGGCTTTAGGGAACATGAACTGACATCTCCTCTGCGGAGAAAATAAATAGCAGTATTCCCACTTTACAAATAGGGTAAATCTAGTCTTGGTAGAAATCTCCCTCTAGTGTGATCAATAATCAAGTGTGATGTTTTTAAAGGGAATAGATTTTTAAAAATTTGCCATTGGAGGGGAAATGACTAACGAGAAAAAGATCTAAAAGGCAAAAGACCCACTGTAACAGCATAAATGTGCACACCAATGTCAGCTGGAGAAGCTATGCAAAGCATTGTTTGGACTTGCATAGGCTCAAATATAGTCTAGTCTTTTTTTATTGTCAGGCCCTGGCATTTTTGGT